CCTTATTTTCACTTTTAACTTTCTCGATCGATTTTATATTTATGTTAACCCAGTATTCTGATAGTCCTCTGATTAATGCTCACATGTATTATCGTAATGTTATATTAACATACTAGCTCAATCGATATTAAAAACTGGTCGTCTAAATTAACTAATTAGCTTTGATGGTTCGTTAACAAGCTTTAATAGCATTTACATGCTTCAGCGACATGGTCTTGTTTAAACATCAAGCTCTAGCAAATATGACCTGTAAATAACGCAAATGTACATTGACTAACAACGTAAGCAAGGACTAAATAGTTATCTGGATCTAATTTTCAGTGTTCCTTCACTTAATACCTCAACCTGTTTTAAACTATGCACTATCCTGTAATATCTTTTCTTCCGACCACTGCCTGCCTAATTTCATATTCTCGAGTTCCATTGCCAAACAACAAGGATGACACTTCTCCAAAAACATACGGTGAGTTCCAGCTATAAGTTTTCTGCAATCATAAGTTCATTTTAGATGGCTCATTCAATGGCACACACAATTATCTGGATTCATTCAGTTCTGATCAGAACGAGTCCCAAAAACCTCGACAGCATCAAGCACCCTGGAAGTGATTGCCATACTGCATATTTTATTCTGGATGCTTTTGGATCATTACTACTCCTCACGAATGGCGTTATATATGTCGTCCACTGAATAATCTAGTTTCCAAAAGTAACCCAGGCGATTTCAACTATTTTACTGGATGATTTTTTGGTACTTAACATGTGTATATTTTCCAGTTGCTTTTGACACATATTTGTAAATGTCCCTAGGCTAAATGCAGTAACTTCTTATGGAATGTTTATAACGCGTCATTTTCCTGCCTGAAGTTTCACAAACAGTCTTAAATTTTAAATTATCTTTCTGGTGATGTTTATTATTTTTAAATTGTCATATACGTCAACAACCTGCATGTTAACCTGGCCCGTACATGCGTTGCACTATATCTTCATCTCTTTTAAACTTAGAAATCATCTGAATCGCCTTTTACATTTATCAATAAACCCATCATAGTCGTTGTTGCTAATTGTATTTAGGTTTATGGGTTGGTTTATCATATTAGCAGCATAAAATGCGAACATAGACTAGATAATAAGATTACAAACTTAGGTACTATCAACTGCACTAGTAAAGTAACTAAATCCCCAGATAGCTGTTGGCTAAACAAACGTTTAAAATCAAAACTCCGTAGCCTACTAGAATTAACACTAAACGAATATTTCTGAATTGAAATTTATAATTAAATTAGGCGTCTCGGATTCTTTAACGTTATAAATTTCTGATGATTTCGAATCACCTAAAGCAACAATACCTATTTTTACACTGACTAATCCTCAATCAACACTATAACTAGTTAAATTTAATAGTTTCAGGATATCGTCATAAAGCATTGTCATAACTTGACAATCACGTAATATGACTGATAAAATTAATGAAACTATTAACGAAATCGGTCAACAAATTGACTTATAATTACCATTAAATGGTGTTGTTTTCTTGGTATCTTCATCCATCACAGATGATTACAGTATGTTTCTCTATCGGTTGCTTATTCAGTAAATATCTCAAAACCTTGTCAGTCTAATTGATGGTTTAGCGACACAATCATGCATGCAAATAATCAGTATAAGCAGTCGAGCAAATCTCCTGCAAACTGAAAACATTAATGTCGAATTTACCCCAACACTGACTAAGGTTCAAGCCATTATCATAGACATGAGTTGGGAGTGTACTCCCCTTGGTTACAACTTGTGTTCTTCCTGATAATCACATGAGCATCTCTCACTGTTAATCATCTTGTAAAAGCTTACTTAGCCGAATACATCCTGCAGCACCACATCACTTAGTAATGTGACACAGGCTTAACTGATTTCAGTAACTTATAATCACCATATCTCATTTAAATCGTATTCTGCCCGCATACGTGCAACTAACTTATATGCCCATCAACCGGCAAGTATAAATATAAATAAATAGTCTATCGCAGATCAGAACATTGAGTCCAGAGCATGTCTCTTACGAATACACTCATGTTTAACGATTTGTTCCTAGCTATCTGTCCAAAATTCATATAATTATCACTCATGTATTTAAATTTTATTTTGATAACCATTCATGTGTATTAGTAGTATTACTAAATTCTATCACGTTCAAGTAAAAATGAGGTTGAGAAAATCTCCCCGTAACTAAATAAACCGTATCAAACTAACTGGAACACTAGTTGGAATTCTCCACGGTATGCTTTTGTTCCTTCAGTTAGCCTACTAATACAGATGCAATTGGAATTCAACTCTTATGGACAACTTACCGGTATAATCGTTATCCGATTTCATAATTTAAACCAAAACTAATACCAATATTAATATTTCTACAACATTTATTACTTTAATACTTCTAAACACAAAATAATTTCTGCCTATAAGTTAAGTTATTAACACGCATCGTTTTATTATTATTATTGTAATCCCATTTTTTATAGTTCAAATAATTTTCAACCAAATTTTCATTTTAAGCGTTTTAAGCATGAAGGCAGATATTTTAAAATTATTACATGTATTTCCCGACCAGATGCTGCCGTCTTTTTGATTTATCTTTCAGCTTATCAATACCCGGAGGATCCTTATTATCCTTGGTAACCTCCGGCGCGCGACGATCCCATCCAATTTGGTATCGAACCAATATAACGTTGATTCTGGTGGGAGAGTAATGTAGTGGCATTGGACAATAGCCACACAATCCACAAAGCTGTGAACACGAGACTACTCAGAAAATAGATATTCAATATTTAACTCGGGGAAATACCTAACAATGGAGAAGGCGCGGAGAATGAATTGAATGGACTGGAGTTGATCGAGTGGCATGGCTCGGCCATGCAGGCGTGGTCTCTGCTGAATGTTACTTTATATCTTCTATTCGTATTAAATATATTGTTCTTTCTCTAGCCTAACCTTGTTCTACATCATGTATTGGTAATTGATACGATACAGTGAGTTGGTGTAGTCGATGGTGTGACTTCCACGTAAGATCTTATGGATTAGGCAGTTATATCATGACAAATCTACAAATTTAGGATTAGGTCTATTATTAAAGCAGTACTAATATCATAGTAGACCATAGTTCTACAACCTCATTACTCACGCCACCACCAGCACTTATGCAGCTACCAAGATACACGAACTTCTCGACTACTTCTATCTGCTCACCATCCAGGGTGAGTACATGATTAGAATCCTGCCAGTCTTGTAGAGGTACTTTGCACTTCGAATGTGCAAAGCACATACCATACCTATGGACACTGATTGCCAACTGATTAAGTGCGGATTGCATGGCTTGGGCATTATCGCACAGTAAGACAATATCATCCGTATATTGAAGGCCGAGAAGTCTTTCTCCGGGCAACAGATCTACGCCGCCATTACTTACATCCATCAGAGCTGTTTCCAGAATGTCATCGATGGCAAAGTTGAAGAGGAATAGTGAGATTGGGCAACCCTGTCTAACCCCACTGCTCGAATAGAACAATGGAGAGAGGTGGTTGTATGCCCTCACTCTCCCTGAGGTGTTTGTATGTAGGACTTTTAAGATGTTAATAAACTTCTCAGGCACACCCTTCTTCGATAGATTATCCCAGAGAACAGTCCTATCCAACGAATCGAAGGCAGCCGTGATGTCAAGAGACTACGATTGTTGGCGTTTGATAAGTATGACGGTGTTCTGATATTTGACGGAGAGTGAAGATATGATCAATACATCCTCGACCGGAACAAAAACCAGCCTGCTCCTCGCGAGTCAATCTTTCTCGGGTTTTGAACAACCTACTAAGTACGATAGGAGCCAATAGTTTGGACGCAATCGGAAGTAGACTTGTTCCCCGATAGTTGTTACAGAAAAGACGTGGAGCATTTCAAAGATTGGGCCAATTATCGACTCATTCTGGAACATAGCCAATCCTATCAATTGTCCAATCTGCATTAATGTGTGAACGTTTTAGGAGGCCAATTTGAATAGGATACGTGGTTTCTGAATGTTTCAGTATTCGTAATCGCTGGTAGCGTTCAAGTTTTCACCATGGAAGTGCTGCCATATGTATTGAAAAACCACATACGCGAAACGAGCATTAGTGACGTAGTATAAAAAATAAAAAGGAATGTTATTAAATGATTGTGGGTAAGATTTGTCTAAATGAGAGATAAAGCAAAAAGTCTTCTTGTTGGTAGTCACCGATTGGTTTGTGTGAGATCTGGAATGCTTCCCAGATGCTCAAATCGAAGCAGGTGGTTTCCTTAAACGGCCACAACCTGAGTCTTCAACCTAAAGGTCTAATCCATAAGTCAGTGGGGCAAAGTCGAGAGACACGGTCCCATAGTAGCCGGTGATCAACAATAGCTTCACATGCCATTTGCTCCCTCAAGGTTCTTGAGCTGGTGGGTAGCATTGGCTTGAAATCAGGGTCATCTAAACCCCTTAGGTGGATCCTCCATATCCGCACCGGACATTCGCTTTTCTTCCTCTAAATTTCTTAAAAAACAACCCGGTCGCAATGAGGTAGCGAGTAGGACTTCCCTGGTAGTAGCAATATACACACGATCATGTGCAGAGCATTTCGAGAGGGAGAGCTAACTCTCTCCACCCTCGGTCATACCTGGGCATACACGGAAATTAGAAGTAAACTATAGCAAACGTGATTGTAGGAATAATTTCTAATTTTTGTTGACGGTTAGGTCTATGGGTTTGCCACCGTCTGAAGTGGTTCAATCAACTTCACAGGCGTTCTTCAAAAAGAAACCTTATTTGTTCTTAAAAATTTAGGACGAGGTGTTTCTTTAACCTCTGTTTCTTTTACATACGCAAATCCCTGCCTTAATTCCTTGGCGACTCATCGCTGAAGTACGAGGAAGCTCGATTAACGAAAGCTGCTTTGTTCATAACCATTTGAACTATGTGAGATTTGTCCTTGAGGGGTCGTGGTACATTTAAACCCGATGGCATCGTGGGAGGATCAATTGGGTCCAAATGGTTCAGTTACTACCAAGTTATCTCAGTTGGATGTAAATGCACCAGAGTTTATACCTGGTCAGCCATTTTACTACAAACCTACGGAACTGATTTCTTGTAATACGGAAAGTGAACCATCTACCCAAACCGTAAAATTCATTAATGTGCTTGATGAAGGTAAGTATTTAAACATCTTAAATTAATGGTATTTTCAGAAACAGAAGCTGGACCTGAAAAAGATGAAGACCTCCCCAAAAATGTACGTACTTTTCTAATCTCATACTAGTTTCCTAGACCATAGCTATCGCTCCGGACAAAGACACACTTAATTTGGTATTTATTGGACATGTCGATGCTGGAAAATCAACAATTGGAGGTCACCTACTGTACCTGACAGGTTCGATGAATTTTCATTGTGTATCCATAGTTTGTAGATATGGTAGACAAAAGAACTCTGGAGAAGTATGAGCGTGAAGCAAGAGAAAAAAATCGAGAGAGTTGGTATTTGTCGTGGGCTTTGGATACAAACCCTGAGGAACGCGATAAAGGTAAAACGGTTGAATGTGGTCGAGCCTACTTCGAAACCTCTAAAAAACGATTTGTCTTAATTGATGCTCCTGGTCACAAATCCTTTGTGCCCAACATGATATCAGGTGCAGCAATTGCCGATATCGCCATACTTGTGATATCGGCTAGGCGTGGTGAATTCGAAACAGGGTTTGACAAAGGCGGACAAACCAGAGAGCACGCTTTGTTAGTGAGAACTACCGGTGTTAAACACTTAATTGTGTTAGTCAATAAAATGGATGATCCAACCGTTTTGTGGGATGAAACTCGTTACATGGAATGCAAGGACAAGATTTTACCATATCTAAAGAAGATAGGGTTTGACATAAAGAATGACGTATATTGTATGCCGTGCTCAGGATATAATGGAGCGTTTCTTCGAGATATTCCAGACGAATCAGTATGCTCGTGGTATAGAGGTCCTAGTTTACTGGAGCACCTCGATAATCTCCCCAGCTTTCCACGGAATACGGATGGCCCTTTAAGATTTACCGTCACCGACAGATACAAAGAAATGGGTACATTTGCCTCTGGAAAAGTTGAATCTGGATCAGTATCGAAAGGCCAAACGATAGTATTATTACCCAATAAATTGAACGTGGAAGTTATGCAGGTAAACCTCATTGCATTATACATAAATTATACAAACATGGAGTCTAAACTGTGCAGATAGTATCATCTTAAAGTGTTTACAGAAATAGCGGTAGTCCTAAAAACCCACACAATGTTTAGTATTGTGATATAGTGACTAATTTATTGCGCGTCACGTGTCGCTTCGGTAAGTGATGCCAACTTGAAATTCATCCTTCTATTCATGCTTCAACCATTGTCAAGCCGATTCGCTTCTCGTTTGTGTTCGTTTCTTAGTTCAATAAACTTTATTTCGCAACTCATCTTTGAATCCAGATCCTCAGGTAGACCCTTTAATTTTCTGGAATGTATTTGATGTTAAGGTTATTAAATTGGTGAACAGCAATTACGACTAAGTTCCCGTTAATAAAAGCAATCTTTATTTATGAATATCCCTGGTTTCTAAAATGTATTCATCTTCACAGAAAATGCTAATACTTAATCCGGATAATCGTTTTGCGCTGTTAAATATAATATTAGGTCATAAAAATCATTTACATGTTTTGAGTGTTAGGCAACCACATTTAAAACATGTATTGCCTGTTTATAATAAGTATAAATCAGAAGCGCTGTGCTTCATACTTCCCAAACTTTACACTCTGTGCAAATGCCGTGGTACGACCGAGGGTGATGAGAGTTAGCTTTTCCTCTCTAAATGCTCTGACATGATCATCCGTATATATCCATCGCCAAAGAAGTCCCACTCAAGGCCTTTTGGTGACCGGGGTGTTGTTTACGAAATTGAGAGGACCAATGGCGTCCATAGGATCCATGATTCTGAGAGAATAAATAGTGTACGACCCAATTATTGATCACCGGCTGCCATGGAACTGCATCTCTTAACTTTACTCCATTGACTTATAAATTAGATCTTTAGGTCGAAGACTTGGGTTTTGACTTCTTAAGAAAACCACCTGCTTCGGTTTGGACACCTGGGCAGTATTTCAGCCCCACACATCGAATACAGAAGTGTGGTGCACATATTATTGGTGCCTCGTTGTACCAATTTCTGTATGTTTAAATAAGTAAACTGCAAATGAGAAGTATTGATATGAGTTAAATATAGGTATGGGTTGGAATATCTTTTTTCCTCGCTATTCAAATTTGTAATAATTCAAAGTCATGTATATGTGTATAAACATCAGAATTTTGTATAAATAAGAATAATTATTAACCAGGGTTCTTAAACACCAATTAAAAAATTCAACAAATAAAATGTCACCAAATCAACTCGTATCGTTTCTAGCGCCGTATTTATAAATTTTTGGTTGTTTTGTAAAGGATTTAAAAATAACATGTTAAAAGTGGATACTAAAGTATCCCCTAGTGTCTATTATAACTATAGATAAACAGTAATTTCCTTAGGCACAAAATTTCATACAACCGTATTACAGTTACACATGCTATAAATCCAGTTTTAAAGAAAATAATTTATAACATTAAACTTAGTTTCCATGTAGGATTTAGTATTTGATGTTTTACTCTGTTTTATTGGTAACCAATTATTTTTAAAAGCCTGACAGACTTACAAATTATATCCAGTTAAATGTGTTTGTCTTTCCAAATTTCATCGGTAACATTCGACACTCGACAAAATGTTTATTTTGTGTTACTTTACCCTAAGTTCAAATTTATCTGATTTTAAAGGTGTATATCGGAGATGTGGAAGTCAATTGTGCTTCTGCTGGAGAACATTGTAAGTTAAAACTGAGGAATATTGACGAGGAAGATATCAATCCTGGTTTTTGTTTTTGTTCCCCGAATAATTTCTGCCAGGTAATTATTTTTTACTCTAAATAAATCCCTTTGTTCAGAGCACATAAAACCAATTATCACGATTTATTTATTTATTTATTTGAACACATAAATATTGGTACAAGAGGGCACCAAATATATATGCGCCACACAAAACAATGAGGATTTAAAGACAAGGAAAAAGAAAACAAAGGTAAGGAGAGTAAAAAAAGAATAATAAGGAAGAGATTGGTGTAAGGTAGTGTAATAATAATAGTGGTAATAATGGGGGAACGGAAAGGTACAATTAGAAGAAATCCTTCAGTTAAGGAAGATACAACCATTGTTTTTTATGAAGAAAGTAAAAGAAGGTTACAGCAGGATCGCCACTGGCTTCTATTCTGAGCCATATCTGATAACGTCTCTAGCTACTGTGTTGCGCTATCTCTCGGACCCCAGCCAGGGAGTCGTAAAGGACCAAAAGAAGTCAGCCCTTTGCAGCTTTCTTTCATGCCACGACACCATGTCATACACTGACCACCTCTCCGCTTTTTCCAACCAGTCCTAGCGTCGGCAAATAATGCACGACGTGGAATTCTCTGGGACGACATTCGTAGAACATGTCCAAGCCACCGAAGTCGGCGTTTCAAGATGGTGACACCAATTGCATTATCGTCTCTGTGCCCGAACACACGATGCCGAACCTCTGCATTACTAACATGGTGTTGCCACTGGATGTCGGCAATCCTTTGGAGACAGCAATGATCGAACACAGAGAGTCGTCTAACGTCCTCAACTCGGAGAGGCCAGGTTTCACAAGCATGGGGCGAAACTGCTCTCACCGACGCTCTGTAGACCCGAACTTTTACAGCCAGACTAACATCACGAAGGCGCCAAAGATGGCCCAGATTAGCATAAGCCGCTCCGGCTTTCACTATACATGCAATGACCTCATCACTCACGCCACCACCAGCACTTATGCAGCTACCAAGATACACGAACTTCTCGACTACTTCTATCTGCTCACCATCCAGGGTGAGTACATGATTAGAATCCTGCCAGTCTTGTAGAGGTACTTTGCACTTCGAATGTGCAAAGCACATACCATACCTATGGACACTGATTGCCAACTGATTAAGTGCGGATTGCATGGCTTGGGCATTATCGCACAGTAAGACAATATCATCCGTATATTGAAGGCCGAGAAGTCTTTCTCCGGGCAACAGATCTACGCCGCCATTACTTACATCCATCAGAGCTGTTTCCAGAATGTCATCGATGGCAAAGTTGAAGAGGAATAGTGAGATTGGGCAACCCTGTCTAACCCCACTGCTCGAATAGAACAATGGAGAGAGGTGGTTGTATGCCCTCACTCTCCCTGAGGTGTTTGTATGTAGGACTTTTAAGATGTTAATAAACTTCTCAGGCACACCCTTCTTCGATAGATTATCCCAGAGAACAGTCCTATCCAACGAATCGAAGGCAGCCGTGATGTCAAGAGACTACGATTGTTGGCGTTTGATAAGTATGACGGTGTTCTGATATTTGACGGAGAGTGAAGATATGATCAATACATCCTCGACCGGAACAAAAACCAGCCTGCTCCTCGCGAGTCAATCTTTCTCGGGTTTTGAACAACCTACTAAGTACGATAGGAGCCAATAGTTTGGACGCAATCGGAAGTAGACTTGTTCCCCGATAGTTGTTACAGAAAAGACGTGGAGCATTTCAAAGATTGGGCCAATTATCGACTCATTCTGGAACATAGCCAATCCTATCAATTGTCCAATCTGCATTAATGTGTGAACGTTTTAGGAGACCTTCCTCTGTCCACTTAATATACTATTTGATGATTATCAAAGATATAGCCTGAATCACTGTTTCACTTAACACCGGTCTTTCTCATCTAGCTGATTTTAAAAAAGGCTTAAAAGACCATTTCTGAACTGTTCTATTATAAACGCTTTTTCTCCCAAACGGTACGGCACTTATTGTTCAAAAAACCACATGGATGTCGGTAATATAATTATAATACTAACCTCCATGGATTTAGATAGGAATACGTATTTAATTGTTCCACTATATATACTAAAAAGATTTAAAACCCTAGAAAACCAGTATATTTGTTCTTTTGCGTATTACAGGTTTCAAATCTATTTGATGCACATCTACTGATTATGCAGTATGACTCTATCATTTCTTCAGGGTTTATGGCTGTGCTTCATATTCACACATGTATGAAAGAAGTATCCATTCGTAAGATCATCTGTCTATTAGACAAAAAGACTAATGAAAAAACGAAGATATATCCCAGGTTTATCAAAGCGGGTGATGCTGCTATTGTACGATTTGAGGTGAGTAATAATACACATATCTATGAAGATAAAATATTATTTTCATTAATCGTATTCTGTACATTTGATATATGATTCCATGAAAAATATGTTTTCGTTGTCTAATGATTCCTTTCTCCTTGTAGCATTCAGGTTTACTCCTGAGATTTTTAAGGATGGTGGTCCAGTATTAGCAATGAGATTAACCGGGGTCTTAGGTAGAATTTGGGAACTGGACGTAATCCCATCTGACTGGTCTCAATCACTGATTGTGCCAGTCTATAAGAAAGGACAAAAGTCCTCTTGTGACAATCACAGAGGAATCAGTTTGACTGATATAGTGTCTAAAATATTAGCTTCAATAATACTTCGATGCCTAATCAAAGCTCGTGAAGAGCAGATTAGAGAAAACCAGGCTGGTTTTCGACCTGGACGTAGTTGTATAGACCACATATTCACACTACGTCAGCTTCTAGAACACAGACACATTCAGACGCCCCACAATGGTAGTATTTCTCGACCTTAAGGCGGCATTCGACTCTGTTGATCGTGAGGTTCTATGGCAGTGTTTGTCACTGAAAGGAGTACCAAAGAAGTACATTAACCTTATAAAGGCTCTCTACTCGAACACAACTGGTAGAGTAAGAGCTTATGGCGAACTGTCATCAGAATTGATTACCTCAAGTGGTGTTCGTCAGGGCTGTCCACTCTCCCCATTCTTGTTCAACTTTGTGGTCGACGTACTTTTAGAGATAACACTCTCATTTAAATTTCCAGGGGTTGAACTTCTACCGGGAGGTTCACTTGTTGACTTAGAATATGCCGATGACATAGTTTTATTTGGTGAAGACGCTGACAAAATGCAGTCTTCTGACCACTCTAAGCAACAATGCAAGCATGTTCGGGATGCGATTCTCTCCCTCGAAATGCAAAATGTTGCTTCAGGATTGGGTTACATCGACACCCGAACTAGTGGTAGGGAGTGAAGTAGTTGAGTGTGTCGACCGCTTCACTTATCTTGGAAGTCTCATCAGCCCTTGTGGTTTGGTGTGTGACGAAATCTCAGCCCGGATACAGAAGGCTCGACTAGCTTTTGCCAACTTGCGTCATTTGTGGCGTAGGCGCGATATCCGTCTATCAGCCAAAGGACGTGTTTACTGCGCAGCAGTTCGTCCCGTCCTACTTTATGGCAGTGAAACATGGCCGGTAAGAGTAGAGGATATTCGTAGGTTACTAGTATTTGATCATAGATGTCTTCGAAACATTGCTCGTATATCATGGCACCACCGAGTAAGTAATGCAGTTGTTAGAAAACGGGTACTAGGTAAGGATGGCAAATCAATTGATGAAGTAGTGAAACTTCATCAGTTGAGATGGCTGGGACACGTGTTACGTATGCCCAACGACCGACTGCCTCGACGTGCTATGTTCAGTGGTATAGGAGTAGGTTGGAAGAAAGCTAGGGGCGGCCAAACCAAAACATGGCACTAGTCCGTGAAGTCACTGACAAGTGGACTGAGTCATGTTGGTAGGTGTAGACTACCTGGTTGGGGACCACGAGATGATAGCAACCGATGGTTAGAGACCCTGAATGACATGGCTCAAAATCGCTTGCAATGGCGCAGGTGCATCCACTCTTTGTGTTCTCCCAAATGTTAATCTTCTGAATTCTTCATGTCCCTTATTTTTTCTCCTTCCAAATTTATTTCACTGGATTATACTCTTTAAATAACATCTCCAAACCCTAATCTTCCCGACTACTGTTTATACACTTACTACCTCTACCACTACGGGATTTGAATCGACAACTGCATGTCTGTGCTAATGTGGTGTGGCAACTCGAACTGATGTACGTACGTACGAAGTTCTACGTTGTTACTGACTGACTGACTGATTCAAAGGTAATCTTTTTTATGATTTTAAGCTATGAAAAACTGTTCGCGATTTACTAGCGTAGTTGGATTCTCGGAACACAAAGTGGACCATGGACTATAAGATATTCACTCTTAATTACCACATATTGAACAATAGTTTACAAATTGAATGACTATCTTCACATTCAATTAACTGTTGAATGCTGTAATTCAAAAATTATGCAACAGTTGTCGATAGGCAAAAGTGAAATATGTTTTTTCTGCAGATCCACTTCTTTTTCGATGTTTATATGAAACATAATATTCGCAGTATTAATGAGCTTTAAATTGAGTCAATGCTATGAATATCATATGCTGTAAGAAAAAGTAAAAATTCTTTTCCAATAACAGTTGTTTTTATATTGAATTTATGTATTTGGCATCCAATTAAACCTAGTCTATTTCGTTATCTGACGATACATTATTGTAGGTTTTCATTCGTAGAACATTAGAAATTTATGTATGTCAGTTCATCATGTATTCATATTGCTTAAAAGATTAGTTTGACACTTAATGAATAACATCTAAGAAGCGACGCATTATGTCTTCTGTATTTTAGCCCCCAAATGCCCTGGTATGGCCGAGAGCGGGGTGGGTTCGCCCTCCCTCTCGAAATACTCTCACACGGCCACGCGTATACAACCTCTGCCAGGGAAGTCCTACTCACTGCCTTCTCGTGGTGGGGGTGTTGTTTACGAAAATGAGAGGACGAAAAGCGAATGTCCGGCGCTGTACCCTGGATCCCAAACCAGTGGTGCATATGGGCTCCCGTATCCTGCGGGAACAAATGGCCTATGAACCAATTCCCTGGTCACCGGCTACCATGGGACTGCATCTCCTCATGATGCTCCACTGCCTTGTGGGTTAGACCTTCAGGTCAAGGACTCGGGGTGTGGCCCCCTAAGAAAACCACCTGCTTCGGTTTGGGCACCCGGGCAGTATCTCAGCCTGCACACAAAAACATGATAAACCATCTACTTATGAAAAATATTCCTCTCGCTCCAAATAACAATCAAGTGACTCGCATTATTATTATTGTTATTATTATTATTATTATTATTATTAATATTATTATTATTTACTACATCATTATTCACCCTCTTTTATTCCCACTCTGTTTATACTTACTTTTTCGACTTATACAGCAACTCGTCTATGGTGGAAACTCGGTTCTCTCTAAACGTTCTCGAGTCACTGTATGTTGTTTTTCTGAAACCACGTGCACCATTCAAACTGACTGCCTCCAACGTTCGCACACTTATGCAAGTCGGACAACAGATAGGGCTGGCTATGTCTTTGGAAAGTCTTAATATCGATGTCTGCTGTCTATCCGAGACCCGTATTCAAGACTCTGGTGAAGTACGACAAATTCGCTCTTCATCTGTCTCTTCGAAAAGCTTGTTTTACGTCCACTTATCTGGGGACCCTGTGACATCGTCTGATCTTGCTGGCGTTCATGTCGCACTAAGCGCTAGAGTTGAGGCAGCACTAATCGATTGGATCCCCATTAAAAGTCGGTTATGTGCTGTTAGATTAGAGAGTTCCATCAAAGTGAGAAGAAATGGACGTGAGAAACAATGTCTTTCTGTCATCGCCTATGCTCCGACAGATTGCAGCCCGTATGCAATCAAGGATGAATTCTACCACCATTTAACTGTTCTTCTCCAGAAAGTGCGTTCGACAGACATTGTAGTACTAGCCGGAGACTTGAATGCTCAGGTCGGGCGTCTAGGCACAGAAGAGAGTCGTTTAGGTGGCTGATGGGGACTTGTTGGTCGCAGGACAGATAACGGGGACCGTCTACTGCAACTTTGCACAGACCACAACCTGTTTCTGGCCAGCACTAACTTCCGGCACAGTCATCGCCGATGTGCCACCTGGCGTCCTCCTTCTGCATCTCAAGCCTGGACTCAGATTGATCACATCGCGATCAGCTACCGCTGGCGTGGTTGTGTACAAGACTGCCGCTCCTTTTGGAGTACCTATCTGGACTCTGACCATACCTTTGTCTGCGCCAATCTTGCCTTACTTTTCAGTGGACAACGAAGTGACCGCCACCAACGGATTGATGTTAGCAAGCTGGTTGCAACTTCTGTTGCAAGTAAGTATCGAACCGAGCTAGTTTCTAGGCTAGCTACCATTCCACCGAAAAGTATAGATGAGCATTTTTGTAATTGCATGACGCCATGAAAATGGCGGGAACAGTCAGTTGTGGGTTCGCGAAACGTCCCGCTTATAAGCACTGGGTTTCTTCTGGTTCCTTACAACTCATTGAAGCCCGTCGGTCTACTCCGGGTGACCGTGAGTTTGACCATAAACGAAGGATGTTACGTAGCGAAATTGGGCAAAGCTTGAGTAAGGACCGAGAAGCCTGGTGGTCGAAGCGTGCTAATGAGCTGGAAGCAGCAGCTGCATCTGGTAACTACTGGAAGCTCCTCCAACTCATCCGAGCCACTGGCAGCAAGAAGTCTGGTGTGAGCGAAACAATCTGCGAGAATGATGAGATGCCAATCACTAACATCCATCGACGTCTTGGATGATGGGCAGAATTGAAGCGTTACAAATCACCTGGCCCAGATGACTTACCTCCGGCTCTTTTTAAAGATGGTGGTGACTTTTTGACTAAGGAACTGACGACGTTGTTTACAAAGTTTTGGGAACTAGAGAGTGTACCAACGTCATGGAATGAATCGATAGTTGTCCCTATCTTTAAAAACGGTTCACGTCGTTCCTGTAACAACTATCGGGGGACAAGTCTACTTCCGATTGCGTCCAAACTATTGGCTCCTATCGTACTTAGTAGGTTGTTCAAAACCCGAGAAAGATTGACTCGCGAGGAGCAGGCTGGTTTTTGTTCCGGTCGAGGATGTATTGATCATATCTTCACTCTCCGTCAAATATCAGAACACCGTCATACTTATCAAACGCCAACAATCGTAGTCTCTTGACATCACGGCTGCCTTCGATTCGTTGGATAGGACTGTTCTCTGGGATAATCTATCGAAGAAGGGTGTGCCTGAGAAGTTTATTAACATCTTAAAAGTCCTACATACAAACACCTCAGGGAGAGTGAGGGCATACAACCACCTCTCTCCATTGTTCTATTCGAGCAGTGGGGTTAGACAGGGTTGCCCAATCTCACTATTCCTCTTCAACTTTGCCATCGATGACATTCTGGAAACAGCTCTGATGGATGTAAGTAATGGCGGCGTAGATCTGTTGCCCGGAGAAAGACTTCTCGGCCTTCAATATACGGATGATATTGTCTTACTGTGCGATAATGCCCAAGCCATGCAATCCGCACTTAATCAGTTGGCAATCAGTGTCCATAGGTATGGTATGTGCTTTGCACATTCGAAGTGCAAAGTACCTCTACAAGACTGGCAGGATTCTAATCATGTACTCACCCTGGATGGTGAGCAGATAGAAGTAGTCGAGAAGTTCGTGTATCTTGGTAGCTGCATAAGTGCTGGTGGTGGCGTGAGTGATGAGGTCATTGCATGTATAGTGAAAGCCGGAGCGGCTTATGCTAATCTGGGCCATCTTTGGCGCCTTCGTGATGTTAGTCTGGCTGTAAAAGTTCGGGTCTACAGCGCGTCGGTGAGAGCAGTTTCGCCCCATGCTTGTGAAACCTGGCCTCTCCGAGTTGAGGACGTTAGACGACTCTCTGTGTTCGATCATTGCTGTCTCCAAAGGATTGCCGACATCCAGTGGCAACACCATGTTAGTAATGCAGAGGTTCGGCATCGTGTGTTCGGGCACAGAGACGATAATGCAATTGGTGTCACCATCTTGAAACGCCGACTTCGGTGGCTTGGACATGTTCTACGAATGTCGTCCCAGAGAATTCCACGTCGTGCATTATTTGCCGACGCTAGGACTGGTTGGAAAAAGCGGAGAGGTGGTCAGTGTATGACATGGTGTCGTGGCATGAAAGAAAGCTGCAAAGGGCTGACTTCTTTTGGTCCTTTACGACTCCCTGGCTGGGGTCCGAGAGATAGCGCAACACAGTAGCTAGAGACGTTATCAGATATGGCTCAGAATAGAAGCCAGTGGCGATCCTGCTGTAACCTTCTTTTACTTTCTTCATAAAAAACAATGGTTGTATCTTCCTTAACTGAAGGATTTCTTCTAATTGTACCTTTCCGTTCCCCCATTATTACCACTATTATTATTACACTACCTTACACCAATCTCTTCCTTATTATTCTTTTTTTACTCTCCTTACCTTTGTTTTCTTTTTCCTTGTCTTTAAATCCTCATTGTTTTGTGTGGCGCATATATATTTGGTGCCCTCTTGTACCAATATTTATGTGTTCAAATAAATAATAACTTGCAATTAGATCGTAATTTCGTTTATGTTTAGTGGCCACAAGTACTTTCACCATCTATTTTTTCTTGATTTAATGGTACCATCCAACGTTTATGACTGAAGCAAGCAAAGTAAATTTGAATCGAATTTCAATCACCAAATATTTATTTAAGTGATCCACATCAAATTAATATCAATGCTTCTAAATACAGCTTCCTAAGTTGCTCCGTAGTTATAATACACTACCTGAGAAATTTGTTTATTATAACTGGACTTACTTTTAAATAAATATTTTATTGAGTATTAGTAAACTGTTTTTCTATTACCCTGAAGAAGTCCTGACAAGACTGCTGGATAAAACGTAGAAATTATCTAAATTTCAATGACTAAGATTATTTCAAATAGAATTTTCATACATGTCTTCTGTGTACTTGGCGTCAAATTTCTGTAGAACTGTTTGTTCAAACGCTGATGGATATGCACATGCTTTCCTATTGGTTGGTACTAATTCTCACTATATAGCTGTATTCAACCTGTAATTTTTTGTGCCTGCGCGTCGCGATTCGATTGTTATTATTAAGTTCATTACTTTAAAAATCAGTTTAACATAGAATATTTATTTGTTGTAGAACCTCTGAGTATTTACATATCTATATGTATAAACATTTCGTGGATCTAAGACAGTCTTTTTATTTATTCAACATCGGGTGCGTTGTTCTAGTTATTCTAAGATTGCGGTCTTCTGCACTAAGATATGTGTATTTACTTATCACCATATTCGTTCTGAAATATATTTTATGTTTCAATATCTCTACAAGAACTTCCCTAATTCTCATGTTCTTATTATTTATACATCTACTAGTAACCTATTCCAAAACCTGATTTGGGTTATTCGTTTTATGCATTCATCCTTCGCTAATCTGACGTAAATGTGTTTCATTATCCTTTCTACAATATGTAAAACATTCTGGCTGGGTCCGATTGTATTTAATTGTAATGGGTTTTGTATGTTTCAATCTGTTTACTATTAGCAGTTAGTAATTTTTACAAATTCCCAAAACTAACGTATCTGTACTTAACTTTTGTAGGTTTTAGGTGGACCGATTTGTCTAGAAACATTTCAAAACTTTCCACCACTAGGACGTTTCACTTTACGTGATAAAGGGGAAACAATTGCCATTGGGAAAGTTGTTAAAATTTTAAACCCTTCTGACCAGTGAAATGATGTATGTTTTGATCCACAAAAAGTATTATTATCCAAATTCGTAAATATGGTATTTATATTTGATCTTTTTCACTTGAATGTGATTTGAAGTTGTCAAGTCTCCACTTGTACTAATTTAAGTATTTTCAGCTCTGGCGTTCGTTTTTTATCAGTTTATTCAAATCGTATTATTTATGTTATTATTGAAATAGTTTTTTATTAACTAAGGTAAAATCTACAGTTTGGATGAACAAGATAAAGTTTGGTTGGAATAAGCCCCATCGGTGTATTGAATGTTTGTCAATGTGCTGTATGGAAAACGTTTTTCGATAATAAAATGAAAGGTAATCAAATTGTCAAAGTATCTTAGAAATTTATTCAGATCGTAGATAGCTAATTATTGCTGTTTTTCTGAAGGATTGGCCAGCTAAATCCATCTTCCCATATTTTAACTTTGAATTCCCAGTTCTGTTACTATTAACTTGCTGCGAATAATTGATTTAAATGTGTATTTTGAAGTGAAACTGTTAATGAGCTGTCTAACTTTATTTTTGCTAATTATAGAGTTAAAGAGCAATTTCTGTAATCAGTGGGAATGTTTCTTGCTGACCGTTTCGGAAAATCAAATATCAGTAATGAAAGACAGACTTCTTTTCCATATATCTGTCAGTACATGGTTGAAATTAGTTGATTAATAACCAAAAACCCAATTATTATCACTAGGTTTACCCTACTCCCACTAAGTTGTGATGAAATAATTAACCGTGTCACTTAATTGCTCATGATCAATTTTGTACATGGACGTCAGTATGCTACTAAAATACACAATGTCCCCTCAACTTGTTACGTTATAAATATTCCCGAATACGTCTATTCAATCTGTAGGGCAATAGAAAAGGACTTGTCACTATTAATTCCACTAAACGGAATCGAATAGGTAAGTACATAAATAATTGCTCATGGCTTTTGTTGGCCGAAATGTCATCAGATAAATTTTTTAAGTTCCAATATTACGTTATACTACTGTGTGACTTATCCTGCTATGTGGTTTTACCATATTATACGTTTTCTCCGGACATATTCAGGATAAATGCTCTAAATCTGAAGAAAATACATCGTTATTTATCTAAAACATCAAATTTAGTACTTATTTTCACTTATTGAAATATTGCTAGAGTCAGCAGTATCTATTAAAACCATTCACTCCGTACCCAAAGGTTGACTAATATTTCTCCAATAAATAAACGAAACTTTTGTGTCTTCCACAACTTACAGCTACAAGTAAGATTATTTAAATCCAAATAAATGAAACTCGTAAATGTTAAGAAAATAATATAACTAAGAAAATCTCAATCATACTCGGTTCTGTAAACTGTCTAATATTGCATTCACAGTTTCCTCACCATATTGTTAACAAAATTTAGAAAGCGATAAATGACAGTCAATGCTAATGAACACCATCCACTTAACAGATAGACTGAGGAATGTGAATAATCATTCACTCCATCCTATTTATTTTCAAACGACTGAAAGTAATGTGTAAACTTACATTAATCAGACAGATAGGCGACTAAAACACTTCAAAATCAACAACCCAAAAGCGGTTAAAAAGTAAAAAGACGATCAGATGCGCTTTTTCTATCTCAAATCTGAATGAATGCATGAGTAAATTCAGTACGTATATAGTATTAAATAACCAGTAAAATTATATCGCTAAAAATCAATAGTAACGTATTTTGAACAAATGAAAACTAATGATACGGATGTGTATAACTACAATAATAACAGTTAGATGAGGTTACAATAATATCGACTTCGACCATCCGTAAAACGTTCCCTTATTAAGATAAAATTATTCGACTAATTAATACCTGGGTTGGCCTAGATCGACCTGGAATCAAACTTCTTATCTTTCTTCTCGATTTATTGATCTTCAAGGCAGTAAGGTCTTCTCAATCGATGTCTCTAATTTTTGTGGATCGAGAACAGGATACTTACTTTCTGCTTAGTTCAGGTTGAACATGTCGAGTAATAGGTCAAGCAGTATATGTTCTTACTTGGCATGTGACTTCCCCGTACCTGATTTTGATGTTTGATCCATCTATCACCCCATGTTATGTGTCCACTCTGTCTAGTGGTGGTGTTCGCTGTCCGTGCATTGTATCTCCCTATTTCGAAATGCCTTGAAGTATGCTTTAACACTACGTCAGATTCTTCTAGAAAAATGATATAATTAAGAATAGTATTCCCCTCCTATTAATGCTCTCCTTGGTGTTTTGGAAACGTTTCCGCTAGGTGTCATCCTGGTGCAGTTTCATGATTTTCTTAAGTGCGTACTATCTATCAAGTGTCGTTTATCATTTGCATCGTTCTGTCACAGTAAGTTGTTGCTAATAATGTCTGACCAACAGATTCGGAGTATCTTGCGTAGACAATTGTTTAGGAGTGCATGTACTTCGTCGGTGGCTGTTGTGGTAGTCCTGCAATTCCAGCACCGTACAAAGAACTCTCTTTAAGTTGGTATTAAAATTCCTGACGTGATATCCTTCAATTTTAGAAATGTAGCCTACGGCTTGCTAATCTATATCTCTACATCTGGATCAGAACCTTCATTTTTAAGCGGATATATAAAAGCTTCCACCTCTTCTAGAGCTTCATCACTAAATGTGATTTGATTGTTTTCTATGGTTTTGTATTTCAGGATCATGCATTTTCCCGCGTGTATGTGTAGACCTACTGCTACAGAGGTTGTTGCATTTGTTGTGTTTACAGTAGGTGGGTTAGGTCTTTTTATCACCAAACGACATAAACTCTCTAAATGAAGACTCATGTTCCAGGTAAATTTTATAGTTTTTTTGGCGAGGTCCATTTTCACTGGGTAAGGCTGCTGACCTCTATGCCCAACCCTCCTTTATCTGTAATTCAGACTGGTAATATCCCTAAAAGTACTCGAGACAAGGTCATCGTGATTATTTACCCACTTATAACCGTAGCAGCTTCCTGATGTGTTGATGAAGTAGCCAACGTTCGCCGATATCAGTAAACTTTTTAAAGGCTGCAGTATTACAGATTGGGCATGGGGTTAGCGTTCCCATCCCGTAGAAAACTAACTCGCTAAAAAAACACTTACCAGAAAAATAATTCAAACCACTTTAACTCGGCCCTGGGAGTTAGAAGGTCTTCATTTAGAAGAATTATGACGCTTCATGGTGAAAGCCGAGTTCCTTAGGAAGCCACGAGGCCGATGCCCCTTCTAACAACCCGAGCAAAAGTTTTCGTAGGTACATGGAACGTCCGAACAATGTAGGAGACCGGGAAGACCAGTCAAATAGCAACGGAAATGAGGAGATACAACTTGGCAGTACTGGGAATCAGCGAAACCCATTGGAGCCAAGCTGGACAGAAAATGCTAGCTACGGGAGAGATGCTACTATAATCCGGTCACAAAGAAGTAAACGCTCTACACACCTAGGGAGTCGCTCTAATGCTGTCTAAAGTAGCACGAAATGCACTTGTAGGATGGGAATCTCACGGATACAGAATCATCAAAGCATCATTCAAAACAAAGGAGGAGGGGATCACAATCAATATTATCCAATGTTATGCACCCACCAATGATAGCAACGACGACATTAAAGATCAGTTCTACGAGCGGCTGCAGTCAATCATTGAGAAATGCCCAAGAAAGGACCTCACCATTCTAATGAGAGATCTAAATGCCAAAGTCGGAATAGACAACACCGGATATGAAGATATTATGGGACGATATGGACCGGGACAGAGAAACGAAAATGGAGAAAGATTTGCAAATCTATGTTCCTTCAACAAATTGGTCATAGGCGGCACAATATTTCCACACAAACGTATACACAAAGCTACATGGATCTCACCGGACCACACTACAGAGAACCAGATAGATCATATCTGCATCAATAAAAAATTCCGAAGGACAATGGAAGATGTGAGAACCAGGAGAGGAGCTGATATAGCTTCAGATCACCACCTAATTGTAGCCAATTTAAAACTGAAGCTAAAAAAGAACTGGACAAGTGGACAAACAGCACTACAAAGGTTCAATACAGCCTTCCTTCGAGATACTGATAGACTCAATGAATTCAAGATAGCTCTCAACAACAGGTTCCAAGCCTTACAAGATCTACTGAAAGAAGAAGAAACTAGTATGGAGGACAACTGGAAAAGCATCAAGGAAGCATTAACTTCAACGTGTCAAGAGGTTCTGGATCTCTATAGAAACTCTGGACAAGATTAAAGAAAGGAAGAACAAGAAGGCAGCAATAAACAACTGCCGAACACGAGCAGAGAAAGTCCAAACACAAGCTGAATACATAGAAGCAAACAAGCAAGTGAGGAAAAGCATTAGAACCGACAAAAATAAATACGTGGAAGAGCTAGCAACGACGGCGGAAAAAGCTGATAGAGAAGGAAATATGAAACAGCTTCACGATACAACGAAGAAACTAGCAGGGAAATACAGTAAACCAGAGAGGCCGGTCAAAAACAAAGAAGGCAGGCCAATCACTGAAATTCAACAACAGCGGAACAGATGGGTAGAATACTTCGAGAAACTCCTGAATAGGCCGGCTCCAATGAATCCACCGGATATCGAAGCAATGCACACAGATCTTCCTATAGATGTCAATCCACCAATGAAGGAAGAAATCAGAATGGCCGTCAGACAAATCAAGAGCGGGAAAGCAGCAGGACCCGACAATATACCAGCTGTAGCACCGAATGAAATCAGACATCGAAGTAACTACAAACATGCTTTACCTTCTATTTAAAGAGATTTGGGAGGAGGAACAAGTGCCGATGGACTGGAAAGAAGGGCACCTCGTCAAGATTCCAAAGAAAGGAGATCTGAGCAAATGTGAAAACTACAGAGGAGTCACACTACTTCGCAGATGACCTAACCCTCCTATCGCATACACACGAACAGATGCAGACAAAGACAGCCAGTGTAGCAGCAGTTTCTGCATCAGTAGGCCTCAACATACACAAGGGGAAAACCAAGGTCCTCAAATTCAAAACGGAGAACAGCAATCCAATCACTCTTGATGGCGAAACTCTGGAAGATGTAGAATCCTTCACATACCTGGGAAGCATCATCGATGAACAAGGAAGCTCAGATGCGGACGTAAAGGCGAGGATTGGCAAAGCAAGAGTCGCATTCCTACAATTGAAGAACATATGGAACTCAAAACAACTTTCAACCAATATCAAAGTGAAAATCTTCAATGCGAACGTCAAGGCAGTTCTACTGTACGGAGCTGAAACTTAGAGAACTACAACAACTACAATCAAGAAAGTACAAGTATTTATAAATGATTGTCTACAGAATATACTCAACATCCATTGGCCGAATACCATCAGCAACAGCCTTCTCTGGGAGAAAACAAATCAGCTTCCGGCTGAACAATAAATTAGGAAAGGACGGTGGAAATGGATAGGACATACATTACGCAAATCTTTAAACTGCATCACGAGGCAAGCCCTAACTTGGAATCCTGAAGGGATGAAGAAAAGAGGAAGGCCTAAGAAAACATTACGTCGGATAATAGAAGCAGATATGAAAAGGATGAATAATAACTGGAAGGAGCTGGAAAGAATTGCCCAGGA